GCGCCGGCCAGAAAGGGCCCCGAGTCGATATGGAGAGTGTCACCCATGGGCCAGCAAGTACCTGGGCCACCAGCTGCAAGAGGAACCCTCTGCAGAAAGCAAGGCCAGTGCCAAGTCACCGCTGGGACAGTGGAAGAGTGTACTCAGAGCATCCCCAGGCAACGTGGGGACTCACCACAAGCACCACATGAAGGACCACCAGCCAAGGACAGGCTCCAGGTCCCTGGGAGCACTGGGAGCCTGGCTGAACAGGGCTCTCCTGTCCTAACCAGGCATTCAGTTCCCAAAGGGGACACGGTCTTTTCCAAAAATCACCTCTCACAGTGAAACGTGCTTCTGCCAGGTTACATTATCAGGAAAGGAGATAGTTTTAGAGCTTGGATGGAATTGCTCCCAATATGCTGGGGGGGTTTCTGTGTGTTATTTTGAAAAAAAATATTTATTCAGTGAAAATCAGTAGCTCTGCATTCTCTTTTCATGTGCACTCTGCCAGCTCCTAGAGCTCTGACTGGAGCTCCTTCAGCTGTCCTGAAGGACACTCGCCCCTTTACAAGCATTCGAAGAAAAAAAAAACCCACTAATTAAAAACGGTGAAAAAACTTTTTGTTGTTGTTTTCTGGTTTATAAAGTTTGTTAAACACTCAGATCAAGACCCAGCTGAAACTGAAAACGCTCCTTTTATTGAGCTTTTGGGGCCTTCTGATCCACTGCTGTGCACCCTGTCTCCTCACCATGCCCACACTGTCTATCAGTTTGAGCTCACTGAATCCAATTCCCATTTCACATCACTACAACTGAAAGCCCAAGGTACCAAGCAGTCAAAAAAAAAACCAAAAAAAGCAGAGCAGCTGCCCTGGTTGTGTCCTCACTCCCACTGATGGGAATTGGAGAAAGGGCTGCTGCAGCTCGTAGAGTTCTGCTGGTATAAGCAAACCTGGACCCAGATTGCTGTGCTGGGTACCTTGGGCATGTGTAAATGTCAAGGCACCACAAGAGGAGGAGGAGGAGGAGGAGAATTCCCTTCTCAGCACTTTATTTTTCTAAGAGCAACAGTAATTGAGGACTACTGAAATGAAGCACAAGTCTAGATTCTTGGTATAGCCCATAAGAAACAACCCAGTGGCACAACCAGCCCAGAACATCTCGATTACTCAGGTAGAACTAAAAAATCTCCTCCTCCCAAGGCCCCCCAGCTGCATATGTCATCTCAAAATACACAACTCGGTAACAAACGTCCCCCTTGGCTAAAGAAAAGAGCAGCAATAAATTCTTTTCCTCCCTAAAGGAATCCAAGCCTTAATTATTCATTTTAATGCTCCCAGCACGACTTGTTCTTTCTTTCCAAACGTTTTTCAGGCAGCTCCATCACTGGTCTCTGTAGTTTAACCCAGTCCCCAGCCCTGGGCCACACCAAAGCCCAAGTCACCTCACTGGGCAAGCTGGGTTGGCAGTGATAAAATCACTGCTTGGGGTCAGGAGCACTGAAGGGCCTTGAGTAAGCCCCTTAGCTTTGTATTTATGGCTTAAATAAACAAACAAAGCCCTCCTGCTCATTTCCAGCTTTCATTTCTGTCTCTTTTCAGCTCAGCCAGGCTGGACTGGGGAGCTCCCTGTCACCAGAAGTCCCCGTGACCAGACACTGCCCTGGCATACAAACCAGATGAATCACAACCACCTAACAAAGGAGCAGCTTGTGCTGCTGAACCAGAGCAAGGGCTTTTAAACCTCTTCAGATCTCAGACAACATCCCTTCTGACCCAGAAGAAACTTCACAGGAGGACAGATCATCCCATGGGTGCCTGCTGTGGGATCTCACTCCTTCCTCCAGAGCGCTCGGGGCTGACAGCAAAGAAAATAGCTGGGCAGAGAGACTGTGAAGAGCAAGGTGGCAAGGCCAGGGGAGATATGGACTGGCAGTCCATGGGCACAAGGAGCATCAGTCAGGGTACCCATGTCAGGGAGAAATAGAGACTGGATGGCACAGAAAAACACAGGGCTGAGAGAGGGAGTGCAGAGGGCACTGGAGATGGGCTGGAAAGTGTCATGTGCAACCCCTGAATCACAGCGTGTACCAACGTGGCACAGATCTCTCCCTAAGGCACCCACTGACTTCTGAGGACTCATTTCTGCAATGTCATTCGTGGTCTCTGTGCAGCTGTGAGAGGAGGAGGCTGGCAGTGCCTCAGGACACAGCACTCTGGTGCCCTGGTGTGCCAGGGAGCCCCAGCAGCCCTGCCTGGAGCTGTGGAGTGGCTTCTGTCCCCCTGTGCAGGAGGAAACGAAGCTCTCGGGCTCTGCCAATGCCACATCAACCTGGGTTAAACCAAACCCCTTGTAATAAAATCCCTACAGCAAGAGGGTGCTTTGTGTTCAGTCCTGAGCCTCCAGGAAACTTTCCCCTCTCGCTGGCCCTGCTACAATCAAGCAAAAGCACAGAGGCTGTTATGAAAACAGCAAAACAGATGCTAGCAAAGGTGCTGAAACCTCAGCCCCAAGGCTGGGAGACTTTCTGCACCTGTCTAAGCAGCAGTGAGCTCGCTGGTGGTGCCAGGCTGCATGGACCACAAAGCAAAGGTGGGCTGGGCAGGGGATGCCCCAGGGACAACCCCAGACAGCCCAGAGCTGTTGCTGCTGCTTTTCTGTGGCTCCCTGTGTGCAGCAGAGCACAGGGCAACTTCATTTGCTCATCTTGCACAAGAGAAGTCTCTCTTTGTTCAGTCCACAGAGCTCTGAGAGCAGCTGAAATGACATTTCCTGAGCTATCCCTAGGACTGGAAAACCAGTTATGCCCTAAACATATACCAGGACTTTGTCAGTGGAATGCAACTAAGGCAATAATAATTTGCTGGCATTGCACAAGGATGATGGACCAGTAACATTGTCCTACCAAGGAAAAGTGGTCTAGTGGTTGTAACAGCAGAGAAACCCTGACCTACCTGCACAGGGCCATGGTAAGAGCTCTGCATTGCTTGCCTGTGCTTGTGAGCAAGGCACAGATAAAGCAGGAGAGAAGGATTCACAGAGAAAACACAAAAAGCACAAGTTTACCATATGAGCAGAGACAGAAAAAGGCCAAGTGGAGCCACAGGACTCTGTGAATACATCACGGAGGCAGGCACTCGGATGGAAAGGAAACATTTAGGCTAATGGGCAGTAATGGCAAGAGAAAGTAAATTGGAGATGAATAAATGGTCTGCTCCCGAGAAGGACAAATAACCCAACTATCTTTTAAGAAGGAGTTTGACCACTTTATAAAAGGGATTATATGGATAAGTAGCTTACGATGGAAAGCAAAGGGATTTCTCTTTCCCGTCTGGATTTGTGTACTCACACACCCCACCAGCAAATATAAAGAAGGATTTCAGCCTCCCAAAGCAGCCCTGAAGCACAAACCTTCTAGATTGCTGCAGTATCTTTGTACATGTTATTAAATTTCAGAAAGAATCCGAAGGTTCTCTGCCGAGTAAATGATAGCTAAGTAGATCATCTCTGTGGAGTAGGAGATATTTTATTGACCAGACAGCCATCTGTGTCCTTCATTAATAGTAATAAATAATTGATGTCATGCTAAATAAAGCAATAAGCTGTTACAGATATCAAGGACAAATGACCAGCTCCTGTGAGGAGGCCTCACCTGTGTTCACTTCTCCACAGCAAAAAGCCCAGACCAGAGCTCAGCATCACTACAGCAAGTGCTGTGCACAGAGCAGAAGATGCCACACCGAGCAGGAACAGAGCAACTGTGCCCAGCAACAGGGTGCTGTTACTCCTAACTCTGCACCAAGCCCTTGCCCCTCTCTTCCATGCCACTGCCTTCCTGGGGCTGGTCTGCCCCAAAGCAACCCAGGCAGCTCTTGAAAATCAGTCTCTGCTCTAGTGACGACTGCTGGGAAGATGCTGCTCTCTCCAGCTGGCATTTTCCTCTGTCTCCAGTGCAACTACTGCCTCATCCTCTTCTGCAGACATGGCTGTGGAGCTGGGCAGACCTGGGCTGGGTTTTATAAAGATCTGTCCTATACTCATTCTGGTGTTGGGGTGAGTCAGAGCTCTCCCTAAACCAGAGGAAAGCACCAACACCCTTGGAGCTTGCAGGGGAGTTAGCCCCATTTTGTGACACTTTGCAAACTTCTGCCCACAGCAGGTCTGGCCACACCACGGCACGTGGATCAGACCCCTGAGAACCCCACTGGCTGTCTGGCCTGGAGCAGGAGGACACCCCCAACTCAGCTGCCTGCCTGCAAGGCTGAGCTGGCAACCTGCTCTGCAACGAGCACGTTTCTGGTGGCAGGAGGCTCAGATGGGCAGGAACGGGGACTGAGGAGCAAGCACGGATGGGAGCAGGCTCAGACCAGCAGCTCCAACAGCCTCAGTCTGCCTCAGTCCTTCCACTGCGAGCCGTGCCAGCGCCCAGCGGCTGCGGACAGCAGGCAGGATGAATCACCCCCCAACCATCCCACCCAAGACAACAAGAGTTACGGCATCGAGTTCAACCAGACTAAACAAGAGAGCGAGGCCAGGAGCCTCCAGGAGGTTAGAGGAGCAAAAGGAAGCTCTGGGACCCTCACAGGCATTCCCACACCTTCAGCCCAGGTCCTCGTGCCAAAAGCAGCACGGATAAAACCCAGGCAGTGCAAACCAAGTGGAAAGGAAGATGAGAGGAGGTCTCCCTGCTGCAATTCACCTTCGAGATTCCTCGAAAGAGCAGAGAGGGGAAAGAAGGCAGCCACCAACGTCTCTGTCTTGACAGCTTCTTTACCAGACTGGATGAAACCAACCCTGCAACGTTACCAGTCACTTTCTTCTGATTGTGGTTTCCTCTCTCTGTCTTCCTCCCTTTTGCTTTTTTTTTTTTTCAACCTGTTTTCAATTTACTCTTGTGGCATCTCTGACTGTGACCTCAT